ATATATGAATGATTTCCCTAATTTGTCAATTTCCATTTTATCATAGTACTTCCATCTGTCATTATATCATGCACGAGTGCTGTCTTATTCCAGACTGACCTAGCATTGACTGACAACACCACAAAATAGAAGAAGAGGACAGCATGAAACCCCAGACTTGATGATAGGGGATTATAACAGAAAAAAGAACATTTGCTCTTACATTTCTGTTCTTCTGATGGCTTGATCTCTGCCATAATCCTTATTTTGCTCTCTTGAAATCCTATTATAACAGCATCTCCTATTGCTTTACAGTATCCTTTCACCCACTCACATAGAATCATGTGATGTATGTTGGAAGAGACCTTAGAAATCCTCTAATCCAACTTGTTGCCCATTACAAAAATCCAGTACAGGATGGAGTTTGTGATGTTCTGGATGAAGTCAGGCCCTGGTCTGACTGCACCACGGCCAGTTTTCTGTTCCAGGTGGTTAACTTCCAAAAAACTACCAGATCATGTCTGGGACAACCAGATTGGCATGGTTTGTTAAAAAACAGAAAGGGTTCCAGGATTTCATTAATCATTATCCTGGAATAATACATTTTACACATCCCAACAACATCAGTCATTTGTGGCATGAAATGTTTATGATGGGGGAGGGGGACGGACGGAAGGCAGGCAGGCAGGCAGGCCCATAGTGATCCATGTAAAGAAAATCCAAAATCCGTAGGTAGGTTCTTGTATTAGGACTGAGCCAGTATATTTTATTTCTGATTTTAAAGGTCCTTTTTATTTACTTTGAAAAACTGATGCAGAATTGCTGGTTTTGTTTTTGCTAGTATAAGAGAAAATAGCATCTCTTCCCTTTCTTACAAGTTCTTGCCCTTTTATTGCTATAGATATTAAAGAGACATAACACTGTAGACTTTGATCCTCTCTTTGACCCTTTACTTTTACATCCTTTTCCTTTTCGAGTGGAGCAGAACAGTAGGGATATTATGCAAAATTAAGGAATTATAATAGATTATTGTTAAATTACACCATTATATTATGTGAAATATAAATCTGAAAATGACAAAGGAAAGTTGCAAAGATTGGAAATAATATGTAAAATAGTAAATGGTTGCTTCTAACATTACTAATGCTTTATATTTTACAATATTGGGAGGACCATCACTGTTATTTATCACACAAGAACAATTATTTTAGGAAAAGTAAACCAGATTATTTTTATTCAGAGCTTGTTTCTTGGTTAATTTAGAAGCCTTTTCTGATAAGGCCAGGGTAGAAAGGAAGGAATAGAGTGGCATTTTGCAATAAACACAATTTATTGAGGGCTCCACTTTCATGCATTAGTGTCTATTTTATTATGGAGTTTATATAGTCCATGTAAGCTAATTCTATAATAAATGTATTCATCTTTTAGATTGCCACAAGGCTCTTCTTTCAATTTGTTTTTATTTTTTGCTATAAATAACTATCTGCTAACACCAAATGAGAGAAAAGCTTGGTTACTGTTAGACAGGGAAGATGCATGCATTATGTTAGCATGCACTAGGCCTAAGACTATGTTTCCTTGAACCACCCAGTCTCTTGATCCTTGCTGATCAAGGTTAATTTAAGTTAGCCAAAGTGGATTGACTGAATGGGTCCAGGGAATGAGCAGTCATCATTGGGTGTCCAAGGACCCAGCTATCCTTAAAGAGAGAGGAGTATGACTACTCCTGAAAACCCTGGAAGCTTATAACTATATGTGGCAAATTCTCCCAATTTTATCCTTTTTGAAACAACTTAAAATCTAAGATTTGAAAAATCTTCTTGAAGAAAACTGATTATCTAAATCTATTTCTTTCACTCATTTCATTTTATTTCATTGTGGCAATGAGATTAACCAGAGCAGGGAAGAGGAGCCCATTAAAATGGCCTGCTGCAAACATCTAATAATGGCTCCACCAGGCTTCCTGATGGCACCTGGGGAATTTCTCAGCAATACTGTTGGGTGCTTGTGATCTGTGAAAGACAACCAGGATGTTCACTCCTGAGTAGCTTTTCCCTACCTGCCAATCCCATGTAGTTTCTTGATTTACTAAGGAGGCCTAGAAGATAAGTGGTTGAACAGTGACTGAAGACACCAAAGGTGGTGATCACTCATGTGATCAGACATGAGTAAGAGCTCAGGTATGAAGCTTCTTGGTGGCAATTAAGGTGGCAAAGCATAATTACTTTTGTGGCCTTACTTTGCCTGATAATGTTATCCAGCTGCACTGTTCAAAGTATCCCTAACCCCTCACTTCATAGTGATAGTGTGATGTCTTAGTGCAGAAGATGCTGTGTCCTTCAACTAAAGCTAAGGTCATATCCCTCAGTGACTGGCACCATGCACTGAGCCCTGCCTTGGCCTCCATCTCCAAAGTCATCTGCATCTATTCCTCCTTCATTCTGCACGATGACAAAGTCACTATTATGGAGGAAAAGTGCTCTTATTAAAGGAGCTGGAGCGAATGTTGGGCCTTTCTGGCCATGTCTATTTGCAAGGGCTTTAACAACATTAACATGGGAAGCCTCATCTGTAATGTAGGAGTTGGTGACTCCTTTATAGACCCTCTGGGGATTGGCCCCTGCTGGTTGTGCTGCTCCTGCTGAAGAGAAGAGGAATGGAAGGTAAACTCATTTTTCTCCTTTTAAAATAACAAAAAGGGGTGGGGGTGGGGAATCACCCTAGATATATAGGGGTTGGAAAGGTTTAAAAGGAAAATAAATACCCCATGCAGGGTCTTAAAGTATGCATTGTGCCAGTTGAACCCTAAAAGCAAGGGAAAAAAAATGATGGATACATTAACTTCCTTGATTAAAGAAAAGACCTATCTACATTTATTGGTGACTGGAAACCTCTTATGGACTTTTTGCATAAAAATAAAAAATAATGAACTTGTGATTTATGGCTTTGATGATTAGGCAGGATAGATTATAGAAAGAGTATTATGATGTAACTTTAGAGAGAGAGGTTAGAATATAATTGTGCATATAATTGCTGTGAAGACTATCGGAAGCCATTTCTTTGTATCTTTTTTTTCTTTTTTATTTTTCTTCAACTTTTTTTCATTTATTTTTTTTATTTCTCTTTGACTTTTCTTTTTCTTTTTTCTTTCTTACTTTATATTAGTTTGTATTAATTTTATCTTCTTTTTTAAAAGTTTCCATAAAAATCATATAAAAAACAAAACAAAACCTAGGCCAATGAAGCAGAACATATATTTTTTTTAATTCTTTCTTTTTAATGCCTTAATAATAGCTCCAGTCTAGGTGACGTTATTCAAAGGAAAACTTCCAACCTACTGTACAGCTTTATCTCCCATTTGGATATTCTTCATTTTGGATTTTTGGCATTCTTCATTTTGGATTTTTTTTCGTTGCCACCTTCAGCTAAATCCAGCCCATTTTCAAAGTCAGTTTTTCTTCAATCATCTCTACTAGCGCATCTAAGTTGGTCCAGTTCTGTTCTGTTTTCAAAAAGTTATCCTGCTGATCCACAGATATCAGAAATCTACATATTTTCTTTCCGACATTATGTTGGATTGGAAAGAATAAAAATAGTACCATTTTTATTTCAGAATCACCCTGCATTAGTACAGGTTGGTACAGAGGCCACACCCTTCCAGGTTGGAACATAGAGCATGTCTTTTGCATTCCAGTATCAGGATCTTCAGGGCCTAAATGGGTTTGATCTGAAAAAGATGACAGAGTGCTGTAGGAGTACCTGTAGTGCATATTATCAAAAGTAGCTAAAATTTCTTCGAACAGTATAGTACCTAGTATACTGTATCTAGGCATTGGGAATGCCATTCACATTTCTCAGTAATATGGTAGAGCATACAGCATCTTTCCACAAGACTGATAGCTGCAATGGTTCTTGAAGTAGTTAAAGAAATAGAGCCTTTGTACTACCATGTAGATTACATAAGAAATCTAAGGAAGCATCATTAGTACCATAGGCCAGAAGAATCAGGTAATTCTGTAAAAACAAATCAGTACCAGACTGTCTCATAGTATAAGCAACAAGAAGACTTGTCTTTGCTGGCTTCAATCCACTTTTCTCTTGGTGTTCTTCAGCGATTT